GTGCTGAAAACAGTTTTGATAACAGAGATGTTTTCATTATTGCTGAGCAGCACTTATACAGGGTCAAGGCCTTTTCTGCTCCTCACACCACTCCACCAGCAAGTAGGCTGGGGGTGCCCAAGAAGTTGGGAGGGGACACAGCTGGGACATCTGACCACAACGGACCAAAGGGATATCCCACAGCATATGATGTCATGCTCAGCAATAAAAGCTGGAGGAAGACGGCAGAAGGTGGTACTTTCAGAGATAGAGCGTCTGTCTTCCCAAGTAACCATCATGTGTGATGGAGCCTCGCTGTCCTGGAGATGGCTGAACACCTGCCTGCCGATGGGAAGTGGTAAATGAATTCCTTGTTTTGCTTTGCTTGCATGTGTGGCTTTTACTTTACTTGTTATACTGTCTTTGTCTCAACCCACAAGTTTTTTCACTTCTACCCGTCAGATTCTCTCCCCCCCCACTGGGAGTGAGTGAGCAAGAAGCTGTGTGGGGCTGAGCTCCCTCCTGGAGTTAAACCACAAGTTTTCCCTAGTAAAGAAAATTTAAAAGCTACATTACTGTGTTTGAAACGGGTTAACGCTGATTTAAATAAAAGTGGGCAGGAGATGGGAGCAAGAACATTGCTTTAGATCTGAAAAGGCATTTCTGCATGTAATTTCCACTGAAGTCAGCACAAGCACATTTCCTCTTCTGTGCTAAGGAGCACAGTTGCTAAATCCAAGCATATTCTGAGAAAGTCCCCACTGATCACAGTAGAAATGCTGCCATCCAGAAAAATCTTCTTAAATCAAATACGAGGATGTAGGGGCCTGTTCAAGAACCAAACTGGAAAGCTACAGTATAATAACCAATTTACAGTTCATTATAACCTACTTCATTTACCTATCTACTGACTCCATGCTTACATGCCTTCCAATTCATTTTCATATTGCTGATAGGTCACCTAATTTCACACTGGCCTTTCCTGCTAGCAAAGGCTCCTTTTGTAGCACAGCACTCTTAATCCTCTGCTTCAAGTCCCTCCTGATAACCCTCTATTGCCATTCTTTCCTATGCAAATGCCTCGACAAAATAAAACTATTCATAGGAATTTCTGCAGACAGGCATGGCAAACGTTAAAAAACCAGAAACCTTTGTTGGTGCCTTTGTTCATAGGGTAGGGCTGAAAATTTACTGAAATTTATGACTTTTTCCATCAACTATTTATTTCTGCTTCAGAAACATGTACATACAGATATGCATATATTTAAATTCCAGACTACATGATACAGTTGAAGCTGTTTTTTAACTAAATACTGATTTATCAGCCCTTGTGGATCATTTCCAGGGTCCATTGATATCAGTGGAATGACACCATCTGTACAAGGTGCAAAGAAGCTCTAAGAAATCTTTGCCTCTAAAACCTCTCTCTCTATTTAACTAATTCAACAGTTGGCACCATTTTCACCAGCCAGTCTGCTGTGCCAGTTTCTAATAACAGCTGCTTGGATAATAGCATATTAACAGCTGTCTACAAATGGCAGAATATAAAAATCTCAAATAACACATTGAGGACAACTACACATGCAATTAATATATATGCTTAGAGAAATCTGCTGATAGAAAAATATTTGCACTGGGGAAGAAAATTCACCTATTAGGAGCGACATAAGCTGTACTGGCAAAACCAAAGACTTTTAACTACTACTTCCCCAGCTTTTACTGAGTCAGTTAAAGCCCTGCTTTCTCCCTACACATGCTGAACACAGCTATAGCTGCAAAAGACTGTACATAAGCCTGGTCTCAGTGTGTAACTGCCATAGCATTGCTTCTCTTCAGAAGGTGGCATTTGAGATTTACATCCATAGCTGTACAGCGAAATCATATCATATCATAGAACAGTTTGGGTTGGAAGGGACCTCAAAGATCATCTAGTTCCAACCCCCCCTGCCACAGCAGAGACACCTCCCACTAGACCAGGTTGCTCAAGGCTCCATCCAACCTGGCCTTGAACACTGCCAGGGATGGAGCACCCACAACTTCCTTAGGCAACCTGTTCCTGTGTCTCACCACCTTCAGGGTGAAGAACTTCTTCCTTGTACCTAGTCTAAACCTGCCCTCTCCCAGCTTCCAACCATTACCCCTCGTCCTATCACTGCAGGACCTTGTAAAAAGTCCCTCCCCACCCTTCTTGTAGGCCCCCTTCAGGTACTGGAAGGCCGCTATACGGTGTCCCTGGAGCCTTCTCTTTTCCGGGCTGAACAAGTCCAACTCACGGGCATTAAATGTTGTTAGAGGTAGAAGATGAGACCACAGCCCATTAAAATGGATCCACTAAAAGTGAGGGGATATTTCATCCTTAGGTAAGGAAACACATAGTCTGTCATTTACGTGTGACTGAACTCTAGATTAGGAGACCTACGTTTAAGTTTCTGCATGGGAACTACGTGTCAAAGCTGCCACGGAGCTCTGGAGCTCTGGGGCCCATTAATTTAACAAGGCTAGCACCCTTCCAGATTCCCTGTGAAGCATGTTCAGGTCTCAGCTGTCATAATCAAAGAATGGGAGTGTTTCACAAATCTTCAGTCATTTTTGCCAACCCAGTACGGCCATCTTGCATGCCCTTTGAACACTTCAAGTGGCACAAAGTACTTGTTTGTAGGCAGGGGAATCCCATGGCTCATTCATGCCTCAATGACATTTAGGGTACAACTCCAGTTAAAGGCAGGTGCTTACTTCACCGAGTGAAGTGAACAACTCTCCAGGATCCATTGACCCTATTCACTGGAAAAGGAGTAAATCCATCTTGTTCACCTATGAGCAGATTCTTAAGGCAGGTGAATTGTTCTGAAGTTCAATCCTACATGCAAAGTTTGATTCAGATGTCCATATACAGGCAAGAAATGCCAATTGAGAAAAATGTGTTATTAAGGCTGATAAATATGACATTGGACCTACCTTTCTGAGCAACAGCCGGAGGCCATGTAAATTATCCTAAGGCATCTAAAATATCTTCAAGCACTTTTCTTTGTGTGAGCAAATGAACTAAGCCATTTTAACAGCATTTAACAGCATAACATTTTAAGAATTCTACAAGAATTAATCAGATTTTTAAAATAATATGGCTTATTATTTATATTGCCACAGTTTATGGAAGCTTCAAGAAATTGTTAAATTTGCCCACAACAACTCAGAGTATAATTTCTTTGTTACATCAAGACAATTAAATAAGATCAGTCTACTTCAGTCAGTCTTTATAAGCAACCTTTCTTCTTCTGGTGCTCTCCTCTAACAATGGAACTTTTTGCCCAAAAACTTTTCTTGTAAGATAAGCATTTTACATGTCTCAGTTACCACTTAAGATAATGGTACTCAAGAAAGCACATGGCTGCTATGTTACTAAATGTCATATTTAGGTTTCTCCATTGCAAAAAAAATATAAAAAATTAAATTTTATTCTATTTTTTTCATGAAAACTTTCCTTAGGTACCATTTGCTCCTTAATTTTGAAGAACAGTTACATTTAGCATCTGTACACTCCTTTTAGAAGTTAGTTATTCTTGTTGCAATAATTTTCTCCTTGAAAATGGAAATACTATGTAAATATTCCTTGAAAGCAACCTCTCAGTAATTATATTGTACCTTTCAGCTAAAGGTAAAATAATTTCAAAATTTTAATGACAGATCTCTATGGGTTAAATAAATGTTACAGCATTATGAAGAAAGCTAAACTGGAATAGGAACACTAATACTGATTTTTTTACTGAAAGTCAGAAACTTAAATCCAGATGTGGACATTTGCACAAATGGTCAGGGCTTTTGCATCTGCCATTCCCTAAAGCCCATGGGAGCTGCAGGTTGTGTAATACATTTGACCACTTCGGTAGCACCTCAGGGGATGGACCAAAATCTCTTCATGGTAGGTACCATACAAACACTGAGTAGAAAAACAGCTGTGAACCTAAACAATAAATAGGAACTATGTCCACAAAGTCTGGAGAGGTTGCAGTAAGGGTAAGGCTTTTGAGTTAAGCTATAAAGGATTGTCAAATAAAGAATCAAAGGAAATAGTTACAGGCAAGAGAAGGAAGTACATTTCTCACCTCTATATCTAGAACTTACTATAAAACAAGATCAGGTTGGTTTAGGTAACTAAAAGGTACAGAATTTCAACTGAGGTCTGCCTGGAGAAGGGTGACGAATTAGACACATCAGCTTGACATATTTGAAGTAACAGAGTTTTATATTAATGATTATATAACAAGAAATTTGCTCTGGCATTATTGTCATGTTCAGGTTGAGACTCCCACCCAAAGTGCCAAGAACACCCTTGCTTCTTCATAACCTAATATCTAAAATGGCAGCAAGATTTATCCCTAATAGATTGGCCAGTTTCTCTTCCTTAATCTTTTAAAAGCTATGAAAAATGTCATCACTGAAGTTCTCTTATTTTTGCTAAGTTTGTGAAAAACTGGGCTTTTTATTTCTTTTGTTGAACCGCTGCATTCCACTAGCTCTTCTTAATCTGCTATATTTGATGTTTATTGTTTTGAGCAAACATTTTCATTACCAAATGAATAAAAGTACTTTGTTTTTATGGAACTGGTTCCTTAAATTCTTTAGTTCTATGCTCTGATGTTTGGGAATCAACAATGTGTTCAACATCTCTGAAAATCAGAGGGATTCAGATGTGTATTACAAAGTCTATCCTAAGGAAATTTGTCCAGAGTGACTGAAAAAAGCAGTTTCAGATTTACAGTTATTGTCATGCACACTTTTTTCCCTAAAATTTTTCTGTGTATTATAGATTCAGATTCAGGTCTCTATCTGCAAGGACTTGCATGAAAAAAGGCATGCGTCTTGATTTCCAGTTATCTACAAATATATGTAGGAAGATTATTTCTCAGAGTAATAATGAAATTCAAAAGGAACAGAGAAATGCCATGACAAAAATCTGTATTTCAAATCTTGCTAATCTGATTTCAATAATAAGCGTAAGTGAAAAATATGTCACAGTTACTCACCTACGATGAGTAAGAAAACTACCACTGACATGTCCTGAGCCATCACATCCTGGGGTTGGACATGACATTCCTTCCGTCTTCACTGACTTCCAAGAGAACTGTGAGCCATTTAGGTACCCATCCTTTTGCCTTTTGGCAGCTAGAGGACACCCTGACGCACTGCGATGGGATGCATATTTTCCAGTTATATGACCCTGACCATCACAACCAGGAACTGGACATCTGGATAGCAGATAGATGAGATAAACTTTATTGTCTTGCCATCATATACCTGGTAGCCTCTACAACAAAGTCAAAATAAACCCGACATGAAAAGAAAAGAACAATCATGCACTGTGGTCTTAAAAATAGTCAAGATACCCTTTAGTGGGTAAAATTACAAGCAGAACTTCACTAATATGAAAAAAAAAAATGTTCTTTGATAATCCGTAAGGAGGCTAGCCAGTAGATGAAGTCACAGCTGTTGAAATTGTACAATTGTGACAAAAGGACTCAGATATATATTTGAATTGCAGGTGTTCATTACAGTAAATATCACACTGGAACTGAAATGTTGGCTACTGAGCTCCACTCAGCAGCGAAATTGCCCATAAAAACCCTATAAGCATAAAATCCTACTTAGTATAACCTTTGGTACCTTTTATTTATGTGTATGGAATCTAAAGAAGACTTGTCTGAAGTCATGAAAATGTTAGGTGTAAACAGTTAGGTATGAAGTGATCATAGCACCTCATCAGAAATGCTGAGCACTTTTAACCACTCTCTGAATAGGAGAGATTATAACAAACTATGTGCTACAGCCTAGAGAGATCAATAAAGGCAGTTCTGTGTTCATCTGATGGTTTTCCTTACTTGGGAATTCCCCCATACATTTGCCCTGTATACTTCTAAAAAACAAATAACCAGGGTTAGAAGGAATAGGTTAGACTCTTCAAAGTGAAACCTTAAAAGAAAATAATGGGGTTTTTTTCAGTATGCTGCTACATAACACATGTGAAAACAGGGCTGGTTACCTCACTGTCCTACACTAAAATATTGCTGCAACTCTCCACTGAGGATCCAGCCCTGAATGGACTAAGCAATCACTAAATCCACCTAGTTCAGTGCACACTGATATCAGAGCACCTTTCAAGTAGAAACTAAGACCCATAGATAGGGATTTATTCCTCTTGCAAACTGCATAAACAGTCAGATTTGTTGCAGCAATCTCATATAAATATTCAATTCTCTATTCCCATAACTACTTTATTTAGCATGTATGGTTTGTCTATAGTATACAAACATGTTTAAGCGTTTTTTAGGAGATAAAAATCTAGGTAATTTTTTAATTTCATGTGAAAAACATGTTTAAAACTGATTCTGAATTATCAACGATTGTATTCTTGGTTGTATATTGTAGCCTTTGCTGAATATATCAGCACAAATCCTTGATTTGCAGTTCACTCATAGAAAGCAACGTGGTCATCTGCTCTTTGATAACTATCACATAGTAACATTTATCTCTTAATAAAAAGCTGAAGATACATATGACCATATAAAACACATGAAGGCCCTTTGACAATATTTGTTCTCACCTAATTGGCTCTTGGTCTTCTTTGTCTTCCTTGCTTTGTGCTATCCTGATTCCACTTTTCTTTGCTCGTGGACAGCCTGAAAGACTGAGTGAAAGAAAACATTTTAAAATGCAATTTCTCATTCTTGAGTACAGTTTACAAGGGATACACTTTCTATCTGGAAAACTGCCAGAATAATTCCACCCAGTTTCCAAAGTCAAAGCTGAAGTAGTTTAAGTAAGGAGAGATGCAGTATGCAACCACGAGGGGGAATCCACGTATCTCAGTCCGAGATGCAGGACAGGACTGCAGGCACTGTGCAGACCCCACGCACAGGCAGTCCCTGAGGAGCCAGGGACTGTTTCAGTGCTGAGACATTACACCCTCTGTGTGTCTGAGAGGGAAGGAAGAATAGACTCAAAAACCAGAAGTCTTTGTATCTCTTGGTAGGACTAAAGATTTGTCTAAAGAGCACATTAGAAACACTATCAAACCTTCTCAGTCATACAAGAATCCTACAGAACTGTTGAACAAAACCACAGCAGAACTCAGAGCTATACAATGCCTTCCTGAGTTTAAGTGCTCAGAACTCAGCCAGACAAAAAGATTTGGCAGAGACAAAGTTATATGTTAGGTTAAGCAATGTTACATTTAACTAGAGAACGTTGTTTTTAACTACACAAGATGGAAAAAGATGTATCTATTCCAAGATTTTATAAGCTCAGCTTTCCCTTTGCATATGAAGAATTCATTATAGAAACCATTTAGCAGACTTGACAATGACTTTCATAGATATTTAAAGATGTTTTTAAGTAGTTGCTATCCAAGGACACAAGTATGTCCATCAAAAAATCATGCTTTGTCCTTTGTTTAAGTGTTATTTCCATCTTAACATATCAACATTAAAAAATAAATCCATCAGTTGAACACCACCTTCAAAAGTATTGAGGCAAGAGACAAAGTAGTGCCATCAAAGAAAAATCTCCGTAGAGAAAAAAGCAAAATAGAAGATTAAATTTTTGTTTTCAGCATAATGAAAGGTACTCCAGTGTTCTGTAGTAGGTCTTGTCTTCAGTGAGAAGAGAGAAAAAGTGGTAGCAAAATTTTCAGTTATGTTGTCTTGTCAAGACCAGCGAGGACTGGGAGGAACAAGCAGAGAAAAGGGTGATGCAGTCATAGACAGAATTCTATGTTGGTAAATGAAAAATAGACAAAAATAGAGTTTACATGCTGCAAAGCCATAAATAAGTCAATTAAAGAAAGGGAGGAATGTTAGCGCAAGATATTGGACGTAGTGTATTACCTAGCAACTTTTACTGAGATGGCATGGCTACATCTAGAGTGGTAAACGGAAGGGACCTAGAACTGCTGTTTAGACCCAAGACCAGCAAGGTCACATCTGTACAGCTAAACTCTCTGTCTCTGTAAAGCAGGACAGCTACATCGATATTGCTTACAGAGAACGATCTGGACCCATGCTGAGCCCCAAATCGTATCTGAGGATTGCCTGGGAGAGTTTCAGTGGCCCAGGGTCAGTACCATGCCAGGGGACTTGCTAACAATTTAATAGTGTAGGCATCCATGCTCTGATGCTTGGACCTGTGCTTTCATCCCATTTAATTTTCTAGTTTAAACGCAGCTGGCCATTTTCCTTTTTTAAAGCAACCTGCTTTTTATTCCAACTTGCATAGTGCACACCGAAGTACCACAGTTCCCTGTGTACAAACTAAATCTCAGAAAGCCTGTGCCACTTAAAAATACTTTTCTTTGAATACAATAATATCATAATCTGTAGGAAGACAGAAACAGGATGAACAGAGCCTGAGGATTTAGAATAAGAGGAAACAGGCTCTGGGGCAAGGGGGCAGTTCAGGAACAGGTCGGTTCATTGCTCACCATACAACCTCGACTGCAGAAAGTGAAGGGGAGAGAGCAGGAGTTACAGACATCCCTAGCTTATCTGTGAGACTACTCGTACCCACTGTGTGAGAATAATAAGGTTTTGCATCTGAAAACTACATATTTACTAGAAATGCCTCAGAAAGCAACTTTTTTTTAGTAGGTGTACAGATGTGTATGCTTGTACATGACGACGTTTTCATAACAAAACCTGAATGAAGAATTTCTGCCTTGACTAATGATTTAATGCTTTCTACATATTAAATCAATTTAATTATCACCTACATACTGGTATTTAGGTGCATCATCTTTTTGCTATAGATCTTTCTATTCTGGCACTACGATTTACTAGAAAATTCTAAGACCTTTCAGGTCCTCTAAACAGACATTTCCAACAGACAGCTTCTGAGGTTATGATTAATTCATTTTTCCTCTGACAGCAGATTCACCAAGAAAACATATGTCAAGGATGAGCCTGTGCTTTATTTTTTTTCCTACAATAACCAAAAGCTATTATAAAGTAAACATATTATTTCATTTTTATATCAGTTTAATTCCTTATATATGAAGATAAAAGACAATGAGGGAAATTCAACACCGGTACATGCGGATATAGCTTCTTGCATACGTTGAACGGGTATGTGGAACTGCAGAGTTATGGCAGAGTTAAACCTGCCTTCATGTGTGCTTGCTGTTGAGCAGCCATTTTAAATACAGATGATAACCAGAAAACTTGGCAGCCATTTAGGAGAGAAGTTTGTCATTCCTTTCCTTTCGAAACTGAAAGGGTTATAAGTGATGGTATCAAACACAAACAAAAATGCTAACTCAGATGCCAGGAGAGGTAAAAGCTAATTTTCAGCGTGGGAATTAGGTTAACTGTGAACGTGCTGTGGGTTCTGTCACACTTAACAGGTCCCAATTTAGGCTACTGGTTTGCTGTCTGTTTAAAAAGCATGCATTTTGCCAGCCTCATCACCTCAGAAATGCCCTCAACAGATATCATGGCCTGAAAAGGTGGGGCTGGCTCCATGTAAATGTGACAGGTCTCCTGGGGACATCCTGGGGTTTTAAGCAAACAAGACACTATTCCTTCAGTGCCAGTGCCCCCGTACCTGCAGGCAGCCAAGAACCAGGGGCTGCCAGAGGCCTTTTGGAAGAGAAATGAAAGAGTTATGTGGTCAATACAGACATAGCGGCATTTCAAAAGCTTGAATGTGTTAAATCCCTACAGACTGGACAAATTCCAGACCACTTAATTTTGCAAAATCACCTTTTATGTCTATATATGCACTGAATATACTGCAGAATTGAATGAAAACTCGGTCCAGCACTCATCTGCAAAAATACAAGAGCTTACAAGAACTAAGAATTTACAGACAGAAGTAGGTAACACCATCCAGTTCACGGCATGGTCCTACAGTGGCCAGGAGACAATACCCAGGAAAAGGATTTTAAAAATAAGCTGACATGCAGTGATCACCCCTGCTACCTTGCCACCTTTTAGGTTTCTGGTTTGTGACACTTTGCCTTTTGCATGTTCATGTCCTGCCTGTTTCTGGTTAAATAGATGACCAAATACATAAACAGCTTCCTGAAATAGCAAAGTCAGGGCATAGCTACACCAGCAAGTGCTGGGAGAGGTGTGAGCTGACAAATCCACATATAGTCAAATGTAGTTCTAAATTTGACCTTAAATCCCTTTGAAAGTATGATTTAATCTCCTACATCATGTAAGTGCTTTTAAAATGTTTACATCTTCTCCTTAACAATGTTATTTGTACTTTCGATTTTTAACCGTACATTACAGAAATTGTTATCATGATCTTTCATTTTTACAGCATGTAAATGTATGGCACATTCCCAATCTCTATGTTATTTATGATTTGACTTTAAACTGTTTGTTGCTTTTACTAGGAATACATTTAAACTGGGAATTTGCGTATTGACTAATTATAGCCAACTGTAAAACTACAGGGACTTGGTGAAGCAAGCAAATATCCAGACTCAACAGTATTACTATGCACGGGAGTAAAGCGCCTTTACTAAGAAAAAAGAGGTGGACTACACTATTATTCTTTGATTAAACAGTGGATATCTGTTCACAAAATATGGTGCAGCTCTTCTCTACTGATTTATAGTTTTCGCATAGCCACAGAAGAATTGCTAATTACACAGGATCCATAACATTACCTCTATGGTGGTACCACTGTAACTGATTTTGGGGTTACCAGCAATACCTTGATTAGTACATGTGAAGCTTTCTTTGGCCCTTGATGAGAGTTATAGTGTAGGCAGTTAACAGCTTTCATCCATAAATTTCTCTTTCCATTCTTCTGGCTTGACATAGTTATATACAATGTGTTGTGATTTAAAGACAAGCCAAGCTTTATTCTGAAATGTACTAGCAAGACTGGTGCATATTAGATGAAAGAGGTACTTTTTCCCTCTGTTTAAAGCTGGTAAAGCTTCATCTGGGAGGGGAGGTAAAGAACTCGGTCTAATTTTGCATTTCAAGAAATAAGGAGTGAGTCTGGAAGAGACTGACAGAAACAATCAGGAAATATAATTTGTGGGGAAAAAAGAAAAAAAAAAAAAAAAGCAGGGCTAGCATTTGAGTCCAGAAAAGGTAAGATTGTGAGGAGAAGAGTTAAGTCATTCAGAATGCACAAGCTTATGAATGTTGAATTGCTTCCCTGGGTTAACAGAGAAGGCAGGAAAACTGGATTCATTTTCTACAAAGATTTTGCTAGCTATTAGCAAAAATCTTCCTACCAGTTTAGGTAGTGAGCCATGCTGAAGCTGAGAAATGTTATTCACTGGTGATAAATAGAATGAATTAGACCAACCCATGTCTGTGTACAGTGCTTAATCCTACTTCAGTATTGACAGAGGGAAGAGAGGTCTGTTGAGGTCCCTTCTAGCCCTTCAGTTGTTTGATTTAAAGAATAAAAACTTCTCTTTACATACCTTCGATGTGAAGCATAATTTCCAGTAATATGCCCAGAGCCATCACACCCAGGGGTGGGACACCTAGAATAATAATGGAATAGATATGGAGCAGTGTTACTGACATGAAAGACAGAACTGCCCATTAAAAAATACTCATTGGCTGAGTCCTTGTTTCCACAGGTGCCAGCGCTGTGGACCTCTAGTCATTGCTAAACCTGAGCTTAATTCCACACTGGAGACAAACATACTTTTTTCATTCATAAAATGCTTTTCTTTGCTATTCCTCACCTGTCCACTTAAATAGTTTCTGGATATCTCTAGTATTGGCAGATTAGTGGAGATTTCCAGCAGCAGCCTGGCATGCCCGCACCACCAGGAATGAGTAGGGTTGACAGCAAATGGAATATCCCCATAGTGTATGCTTAGGTAATGGCTAACATTACAGTAAGCCATTTTGTTTTCCACCAGACCTATTGCTCTAATCTCACTACACAGAGCTATGAAGCCGCACCATGGAGAGACCCCTCCACCTCTCCATGAAGCAAGGAAATGCTTAAGGAAAAGGAAAAAGGGAAGTAATGCTGGCCTCTTGCAGAGAAATGTTAACCCACCCAAACACCAAGCTACAGCACCAGACAGAGAAGTCACTGATACAGTAATCAGTGAAATTTCTAATAGTAGAATGACATTAGAGTCATCAAAGAAAATGGATGGTTTTTTTCTACATTTCAAAGATGATAGTGATCACCACAGATTAAGCTAAATCACAACGCTAAGTAAAATCATTAGCTGGTATTTGAACTGCTACACTAAATCACACAAAAGACAAAGGAAGAATTAATTTATATTTAGTTTACTGAACAGACAAATTCTACGTGAATTCCAAAAAGTCACTTTTCTTGAGCCTGAGTTTTGAATTTTAGCCATGCTTTAAAGCTCCATTTGATGAAAGCCTTCAAAATCAAAAAAGCATGTGCACAAATTCAGATGTTGCATTCTGAAACATCAGATTTCCATAACGTTGAATTCTTTCACTATTTCAATCCAGAGTTCATGCAGACTTTGGCTTGCACCCTTTAGTTACATGTGTGCTTGCCTCACAGTTGGTCCATACTGGTAAACTTTTGTTTCACAAAGTTTTCTGCAGAGACTTGAAAGTTTCTTAACATCAGGAATTAAGCAACCCAGAATTCAGTGCAATGGGGCTGTCGTCATGTTCCACTAAGCTGAATTTTAGATCCTTAAAGCTAGTAAGCATTACCTACTTCTAAGGAGCTCAGCAGGGCCAAACTTCAAACATGAAACCTTGAAAGAGATAAATTAAACTGGAATTTGTTAAATGGAATTCTCATATGGTCTTCATTTGGACCAGTTCAGCTATTCTATAGAAAACATTAAAATATGGTAGCACTTCCAGAATACAAACTGATAAAACCTCTGGGATTTACTACTGTGTGCTTTGGACAAGAAGTCTAAACAACATCCTTAAAGACAATTCTTTTCTCTTGCTTTACATCTTTGCACAGGACCAAGTATAAGACCATGATCCTGACTCTAAGTAAGTATCACTGTGACTCTAAATATCTTAAAGACCAATATACATGTTGACATCACACACCAATCTTTCTGCTTGTAGAAAGATAAACCCCCTAATTTTTGCATAGTTTTTTCTGACGCAAATTACATAAAAATATGGTCCTTGGTGAAGAAGTCATAGCTCAGTCTGTATGGCCCTCACCGTTCGTTTTTTGCTGTGGTTGCACATGGCTAGCACAAGCTTTGGCTATTTCTTTAAGTTAAAAAATAAATAGGGCATCTTACATGAAGGGTCTTATATTTAAAATACTTCATATCAAAATATTTAGATGTCGTCACTATTTATTTCTATTTTTTGGCAAATGTGAGATCTGCAGAGAGACAATCTCTTGCTTCATGTGGATTTTAATGCTAAGTATCTTCAGTGATCTACAATGCCTGCTTCCTACTTCCATCAAGACCAGCTGCATCACTGAAGCCTGACTGAAGCCTCTAAAGACGTTGCATCAAAAGATATGGGAATAAGAATTAATTAAAGGAATTGACTGAACTTTGGCTGTAATGTCCATGGCATTTAAATGAGGAAAGAACAAGGATCCATGAGATTGTTCCTCTGCAGTCTGTCTGAGGTACTACAAGGATTCTCTTATGAACGCATGCTATTTGAAACCACCATTTTCCCCTCCAAACTTTTCAGTTCTTGAGAATAAGCTATTATCAAAAAATGAACAATGTTTTTTCTCATCTTTTCCAAGACTTTTGCTACAGATAACTATGATTAATAGTGTCTTAACAAAGATTATTTGTAAGATGCACCAGTATATCCAATCAATCAGTCTTAAAATTAGACCATTACACCTCAACTGTTTGGACAGCCTTGCACAACTTAAAAAATAGTTTATTTCTGTGTCATTTTTTTTAAAAAATGTCTTAAGCAAGTGGAGCTAAAGAAGAAATCATCCTGCTGTAAATTGAAGTGAGAATCTTCACAAAGGGCTATGTACAGTTCACATCAGTTTAAAATCATACTTTTGATAAAAACAAAAGACATTTTTTATGTAGGCAAGGATTTTAGAAAGACCTTTCAAATTTTGATTTTGGCACTACAATATTTGTTTTCAAGTCTCATAAGTTTATATTGACCTAAATGTAACAGACAAAATGAGAGTTTAGTGCAGTTGATAAGAACATTTAAAAACTCTGGAACATTTCTATTTACTGCTGTTTCCATTGTATGGGAAGTGCTTACAACCACTGTGAAATACATGATGCAGATATACAGCAGTCTGTTTCAACTATAAAGTTGTACAATATTTATTTGCTATCCTAAGCAGATTAGATAAGGAGACAACTACAAGTCCTTGTACCATTGAAATTGTGAGTCTGTATTTTCAGAATGTCTGATCCCACATAGGACTTGCATGTACCCCAATACTTTACTATCAACTACTACCTATACATATCTGAGTTAACTGATCATATGTACATGCAACAATGCCAGAAAAATGTATGTGCAGGTGCTTATAAGAGGCAAGTGTTGTGAAATCCTTTGAAAATGAATATCAGAGTAAGTGGAAAAAAAGATATACAGTTTCCTTACTTACTTAAAATGAATGTAATTTGGCAGGATCAGAAGCTTCTTTGTAGACTCTACATAATAGCTTACCGCAGCAAAGGAAATACTTTAGCATTGTAAAAAGTGAGGTGACAAAAGAGACTCACCCTGTAAAGAGTGACGTTCAGAACATATAACACTAGCACTTTACCACAAATTTAGGGCATCCAGTAAAAGAAAGCGCTTGTCAGAGAAGGGGAATGCAGTGAGCACAGCCTTGATGTCCCATTCATTTCACAGAACATCCCAGAGAAGCTTCTTTGGGAACATAACCATAAGCAGAAAGCAGGGGAGGCAGCAGAACAGCAGCCGGATTCAGTTCTAGGCTTAGATTCGATAGCACGAATGAAAAAATAGGTGAGAGCCAAACAGATAAATACACTTAAGCTCCACTACCCATCCTTCACCAGGGAAAGACCTGAAGGTGTGCAGCAATTAAAAAAGACTTTCAGCAGCTTGAAGGAACTTAGGGAGGTTCCTGGGACTGGTGAGGAAATGGATGCAATGCCCAAATGGGCTCTGGGAGGGTTTTTCCAAATGCCAATGGTTGAAAGTCTTGGCGCAGGTTCAGCTCAGAAAAAAACCCAGCTCATACCAGCATAGCCGACTACAAAAAGATCCACATTTAAACCTATATTCCTAGGCTTTTATCTAGTTCTACAGGAGCTAGATAAGCTTACATGTAGCTTGCATGTTTAGACTTACAGCTTCAACTAGCATGAGACCAAAGAGGATGTTGCACAAAGGTGAAAAAGACAGAACTGAGGTAGTTATGTCCTCACTATTGTGGATAGCTTTGGTTGACTTACTTTTAAAATTTAAAATTAAATTATCTCTAAAACACACCGACAAAACAAAGATATAGCAATCTGCAATATAATGAAAACATTTTGCTTTTCTTTTTTCCTTTTAGGGATTTTACCACAAAATGACAACAGCTTTTTGGAACCAGAAGGATTGTACTTCCCAAGGGAGGAGACAGAGTTCATGGAATCTTCTGCAGCGCACACGGCCTGACCTCAGCTCAGAGCCTGAGCTGAGGCTCTCTCATTCTCTCTCTCAGAAACCCTCGGTTGAGATTCAGCAACACAGTGAATTCTATTTGCATCTTAGTCAAATCTTCTCTTTAAGGTTTGACCACTGTATATGTATAAACACAAATGGAAACTCTGGAGCCAGAATTAATACAAGCCCAAATTCAGCACACCACGCCAACAAAAGTCGAGTCATTGTAACACATGGTTGTATGTTTTGCTAGGTAGGGCGATAATGTTTAACTCAGTCATCAGAGACAGTTCTAGCAACTGTAACCAATATAACCACTTCTTTTCTCTCTGTCTGTTGCCCCTTTAATCACCCTTGGCCCCTTCTATGCCCTGCACCAAGCCTTCTCCCTCTGCACCCTTTCAGCCTCACTGCTCTTATCACTAAGGAAAGGGCATGCTATTAAGTTAGGCTTTAGTTTTCTCAGGAACTGGCAAGTTTTTACATTATCCATGTACTTTTTTTTTAGCTATTGCTCTTGGGGGATTAATTAAGCACTCAGTGGACACTCTGGAAATAAAGAAATAATACTAACAAAGGTGAAGAGCACTGCCAATTCTGATTATGGCAAACTGCTTTGAAATTTTATTTTTGTGCTGAGGAAATTTGCTCCCATGGACCTGAACTAAGCCATTAATTTCTTTCACACTGGCCATGCCAAAAGCCATCAAATAGTAATCCTGTCTAGGATCCACCAAACTATACTGGGATTCAACTGCAACGGGTTCATACAAAATACCTTTCACAACCGTTATTAGTAAGCTGGTGTATCAGCTCTAAATACTGATATTTTCATTGTTCAGTTTACAGCACTTAGTACCTACTACATTGTGGATCCAATCTTCCCTTGAGTAAGTAAATGAACACATATATAGTCTATCAGACA